TTGAAAAAAGACTTGAACACATACTTGTACGTCAATGTTCGTTGCAGCATTATTCACAGTAGCCGAAAGGTAGAAACAACCCATGTGTCAAACAGCAGGTGAATAAACAAAATGTGGTATATACATTCAGTGGAATATTTTTCAGCCATAAAAAGGAATGAAGTTCTCATTTTGCTACATACAGATTAACTTTGAAAACAATATGCTAAGTCTGGGTGCAGTGTCACACACATGCGATCCCAGCACTTTGGGAGGCTGGGGTGGGCAGATTGCTTGAGCTCAGGAGTTTGAGACTAGCCTGGGCCAACATGGCAAAACCCCATGTCTACCAAAAAAAAAAAAAAAAACACAGTTCAGTCGGGCATGGCAGCACATGTCTGTAGTCCCAGCTACTAAGGAGGCAGAGCGGGGAGGATCACTTGAGCCCAGGAGGTTAAGGCTGCTGGAGTGAGCCATGTTCGCACCACTGTACTCCAGCCTGGATGGCAAAGTGAGACCCTGTCTCAGTCAGTCAGTCAAATCTGTTTATTTATTTATTTTTTGAGAGAGTCTTGCTCTGTCTTGCAGGCTGGAGTGTAGTGGCGCAATCTCGGCTCACTGCAACCTCCGCCTCCCAGGTTCAATCAATTCTCCCACCTCAGCTTCCCGAGGAGTAGCTGGGATTACACACCCGCCACCACACCCAACTAATTTTTGTATTTTTAGTAGAGATGGGATTTCACCATGTTGATTAGGCTGGTCTCGAACTCCTAACCTCAGATGATCTGCCTACCTCAGCCTCCCAAAGTGCTGGGATTGCAGGCATGAGCCGCCACCGTGCCCAGCCTCAGCCAATCAGATTTAAAAATCAAAAAGTCAGATTGGGATCTGAAAGACTTGCAAGTGCAACAATAATGTATTTGGCATACGTATCCTCCAGCTCTCCCTTGCCAGCCCTCCCCGACTTTGTTTACAAAGAAAAAGGAACTAAAGACAGCACTAAAAAGCAGAAAGAACTCATGGGGTCTTACATTCTCCGGTTTTCTGGAACTCTTGTTTGAAAGGTTATACTGGAGTCGAGTTGCCTCCTGGCTCCCACCTCAGATATTTATAAGACAAATAACCTAAACCCTAAGCAGAAACAGTGTTGGGCTAACCAGAGTTGAGCTCAGTCTTCTTAAATCTGTGGCTCAGTTCCAAATCAACCCTTAGTGAAATCTGAATTATCTCCTCACTTTAATCTACAGATGAAAGGGAGTTCTCACTGTCTAGGAAAAGCATTAATGTTCTTCAGTCACCACTGTTCTTCCATAATACAAAGTCTAGTATACAAAAAAACAGGAAACATACAGAGCAACCAGAAAAGATAGTGAAACCCACAATTAAATTTTTTTAAGTCAGCAAAAATCAACCTATCGATGATTCAGATATTGGATCTTAGAGACAAAGACTTTAACTGTTGTGTTCAAGGGCTTATAGAAAAGTTATTGAACAGTGGTTTAATAAGGGATCTCAGCAGAGAAATGGAAGCTTAAAAAAATAAATAGAACTCTGTATCTGTATTTGAAGTTTAAATCTAGTATGTGAAATTTTTAAAAATTAGAAAGCCTTAACAGTAGAGTGAATACTAGAAAAGAACAGTGAACTCCAAGACGTATCAATAGAAGTTATCTAAAATGAAGGTCAGAGAGATAGAAAAAACATGGACAGAGCATTTCTGTGATCTGTGCAACAATATCAGCAGTCCGACATGTATAATCAGAGTCCTGGAAGGGTAGGATAAATTTACCAAAGAAGTACACACTTATACAATGACTACTATAAAACATTGTTGAAAGAAATTAAAGACAACCTAAATAAATTAAAACTCATCCCATATTCATGAATCAGAAGACTCAGCATTTTAAGATGGAATACTTAGTAAATTGTAGAACCAGGACTGAAACCAAGGCCTGTTCAAATTAATCATTCATGTAAGAAGTAGTGGTGAGTAGGACAGGCAAAAGTGGCTGTGTTCATGGAGCTTCCATTAGGTGGAGAGAATGAATCTTTAATACATTCAGTATAATTTCAGATAGTGTTAAGTACTGTGAAGAAACAAAGCATGATGTGATAGTAATTGGGAAAGATGGTTTAGGTTGGATGGTCAGGAAATGCCTCTCTGAAAAAGTTTCATAAATGTCTCTTTTTACATTTTGTTTTGTTTTGTTTTTTATTTAGGACCAAATTAGGACACACATTGGGATTGCTTGCTATTGTCTCTGTAGTCTCTTTATCTATAGGTTCCCCTTTCATGTCCCTCCCTTTGGAATCCTGGTAATTCAGTTGTGAACAAAGCTGATCATTTGTCCTGTGGGGTTTCTCATGATCTGGTTGCTGACTGCATCCTGTGGTGCGGCTTCAAAGTGAACTCGATCCTCGGCCCTCTGTTACTTCCTTTGCAGTGATGGTCAGGTCTAGAGGCTTGAGGAGAGTCAAGTTTGATTTTTTTTTTTTTTTTTTTTTTGCAATATTGTAAGTGTGGATCTTAAACACTTACTCAGTGATATTAAGGCATTGTTAAAAATTTTCTGATACAATGGTCTTGTAGTGATGGTGTATGTTTTACGGATTTACATAGGAAAATCAGTGGATGAAATGCTATGTCTGAGACTTGCTCCACTGTAATAAAGGATGAGAAGTACTTGGGGGTAAAGACAAAATCTGATAGAACATGAGTTGATTGATCATTGTTGAATCTGGCTGATGGGTGTATGGAGGGTTCATTACACTCTTCTGTCTGCTTTTTGTATATTTTTAGATTTTCCATAATTATAAGTTTTAAAACCTATTGTTATTTACCTCAGTTAAAATGAATTCTTTCACACCCATTTATGAGGATGCAATAACTATCAATTCATGTTGACTACAGTGAAGTATGTTAGCGATTGACTTCATTTTTATGGGAAGCCATTAATTTTCAAATCATATTTTAAAAACTAAGCTGAAGCATTTGAGGTTTCTGAGCTTTGTCAGGCAAAATGCTCATATACTGGCAATTTTCTGTTTCAGCCTGATGTGTGGATGTCAGCTAAGCAGTCTGATACCTTCCACAGAAAATCATGCATTCACTGCTAAAGTTTTCTTTTTTTTTTTTTTTTTTGAACATTCACTGTTAAAGTTTTCTATCTTTCCATGGCAGTTTACTAGTTATCAGAACCAATGCTGTTAGGACTAGATTGGATAGCTAGTTTTTAACAGCTGTGACTCATCATTAAATGATTGTAGCAAATTGTTACTGTTTTGTTGTTGTTAAGAAATTTAAAGGGGATAGCTGGGCGCAGTGCCTCATGCCTGCCCCAGCACTTTGGGAGGATCACAAGGTCAGGAGTTCGAGACCAGCCTGGCCAATATGGTGAAACCCTGTCTCTACTACGAATACAAAAAACAGTTGGGCGTTAATGGTGGGCCCCTATAATCCCAGCTACCAGGGAGGCTGAGGCAGGAGAATTGCTTGAAAACGGAAGGTGGAGGTTGTAGTGAGCCAAGATTGTACCACTGCACTCCAGCCATGTCCAAAGAGCGAAACTCCATCTCAAAAAAAAAAAAAGAGAGATAAAAGAAATTTAAAGGGGAAAAAAAGAAACTAAGATGTACATTAAGTTAAGGTGCCCCAAGACAAAAATTAGCTTGTTGTATTCAAAGCACAGAAGGTATGTGTGACTGTCCTGCCTGAGGGGTAAGGTGATAAAAGATGATGTCGGAGAGGTAGACAGGGGACAGATCATGTAGAGCCTTCTAGAATTGGTAGACAGGAGCGAAATGATGTAACTGCCATTCCAAGTAGTGCTTCAGATGCTACGTGAACATAGACTACAGTGGGAGCAAAAGACCAGCTAAGTTGTTGCATAGTCAGGGCAAAAGGTTGGGGTTAAGTGGCTCAGACCAGAGTAGAAAGCAAGGGAGACCTGGGAGGTGGCAGGTATTTCAGAAGTGGCCCACTGGAGGTTTGACTAGTAGAGATTAAATGATTACTTAGAAAATACTTAGAAATGTGCCTAGCACATACAGAGTGCTTGATTTTTAGTTCATTGTTGTTAAAATACTGAACAGCAACCACTTTTTGAGCATATAAGTCTTTTTCAGGTTCCATTCTAAAATGTGTTAATTTCTTGGCTCATGTAATTCACTCACCACTGTGTTGAGGTGGATAGTTACCCCATTTTACAGGAGAGAATCGATAACATTTCTCTGCTCTTGCAAGTTTCTGTGCACAGTGGCCCCTTTCTAAAGCCCATCTTATTCTGCATTCTCAGCCACAGAGAGATGACACTTAACTAATGTGAATAGCCCCTCAAATGTAGCCCAGTTGTTCTTTAAGAACCAGCTTCCAAAGAAGTTAAGTGTCTGGGGCCTGACACAGCCTCAAGTCAGCATTTGCCCCTGCACTAGCAACATCCTCTGAACATGAGATTTGCGAACTTGGACAGAATTCAGCTTTGGTCATCATTTCAACAATGGAGCTAATTTAAGCTTACTTCTGCAGCACTGGGAAAGTCATTATGAAGTAAAAGTGCACAAATTGAGAGAAAGGCAGTGTAAATCACTTATCATTCATTGCTGATGAGTTCAGCCAAACACTAGGGGAATCAGAATAAGTGGTGTTCGTAATAGCTTATAAATGTTTTCAGACTTTTTATTTTGTGGGTCTCTTGTGAGGCTGGTTTTCCTGACACTGGCATTGTGTCAAACAAACACTGCAGGCAGCCTGGCAGATAAACACAAAAAGTTCCACCTACCATAAATCATGTTTTCAGAGAACTGCAAACATGGAATAGCTTGAGAACTTCTCATAGGTGGTAAGTCCCTGTCAAGAGTCTAGCTGTGTTTGTGGTTATTAGAGCATTTGTACCAGAACTAATAAGAGTTCTCTTGCTTTTTCCATTTGTACCAGCTGTGAGCACCTCCTACCCATGGATGTAGTCTGCCATTTTATGATGACCTTTCATCCTATCTTGCTTCCTGCCCCTTTTGTTTTTTAGCAGTCATCCTCTTCCAGTGGTAGCGTGTTTGGGTCTGGAAACACTGGAAGAGGAGGAGGCTTCTTCAGTGGCCTTGGAGGGAAACCCAGTCAGGATGCAGCCAACAAAAACCCATTCAGCTCAGCCAGTGGGGGCTTTGGATCCACAGCTACTGCAAGTAAGTTGAGAAGACTTTTCCCAGTCCCTTGGTCGCTTAATGCCATTGTCATTCTCAGGGTGTTAACAAAGCTTCTGTGACAAATATAAAAAGGAAAAAAAATCTAGAAGGCCCATTTAAGATATCTTCCCCAAATCAGTGTGTTCTGTTTTGCTTTTTTATTTTTGGTTTTTTAGTGAGATGTCATATATAATCATGAAAAGACATCAGAGCTGCAAGGAGAGGATCTCTGTATTGAGCTGCTCCCCTCTTCTCTCCCAAGGCCCAAATCACTCTGTTTCTTAGTATTGGAGTGACTTGAAGTGAATGCAAGCAGACAAGCATAAATGAGCAGCAGCAGAGCAAGCTGAGGATGCTGGGAGGAGAGCATGTAGACTTTCATTTGGGTAGTACTCTCTGAATTTTCCATAAAATTCAGCTCCTGTAGGGAGATGTCACCTAAAACTTGAAGCCTTTAGTATTTCTCATCTCTTACATTTTTGTTTTATTTTCATCTGAAGCTGTATCTGCTAGTGCTTCCTTTAGCTAATTTTTTTTTTTTTTTTTTTTTTTGAGATAGTTTTACTCTTGTTACATAGACGGGAGTGCAATGGAACAATCTCGGCTCACCTCTACCTCCCAGGTTCAAACGATGCTCCTGCCTCAGCCTCCTGAGTAGCTGGGATTACAGACACACACCACCACGCCCAGCTAATTTTTGAATTTTAAGGAGAGATGGGGTTTTGCCATGTTGACCATCCTGGTCTCTAACTCCTGACCTCAGGTGATCTGCCTGCCTTGGCCTCCCAAAGTGCTGAGATTACAGGCATGAGCCATCATGCCCGGCATTAAAAATTCTTTGTTGAGCTGTGTATTCATGGTTGGAAATGAAAGGAATCTCTGTTGGTTTAGATCTTAACTATCCTGCTGCTCAGAAGGAGGCTGAGATTGGAAGTTGGGAGCCTGTCCTGTTTGTCTCAGCTTCTCTCATTTAATGTGCTCTACATGAAGTTTCTCTCATTGGTTGTGCTGTGCAAGATCTTCATGAATCATGAGCTAGTGTTCTGCAGTCATGACAGATGTTTCCTTACTATTAAGGCCTATGCAGTTAGCAAAACTTTCTATCCTGATTTGCCCTTCAAACTAAAAACTAGCCATTTTTTGAGTCCAGCCTGGGCAACACAGTAAGACCCCATCTCAAAAACCAAACAAACAAAAACCTAGTTATTTTGATGTCGCTGTCCACACCACTAATATATAAGGAAAGATTACGCTGGGTGCGGTGGCTCACGCCTGTAATCCCAGCACTTTGGGAGGCCGAGGCGGGTGGGTCACGAGGTCAAGAGATTGAGACCATCCTGGTCAACAAGATGAAACCCCGTCTCTACTAAAAATACAAAAATTAGCTGGGCATGGTGGCGCATGCCTGTAATCCAAGCTACTCAGGAGGCTGAGGCAGGAGAATTGCCTGAACCCAGGAGGCGGAGGTTGTGGTGAGCCGAGATCGCGCCATTGCACTCCAGCCTGGGTAAGGAGCGAAACTCCGTCTCAAAAAAAAAAAAAAAGAAAGAAAAGATTACTTGTCAAGAGACACATTCCTCTTAACTTGTGAAGTTATATAATCAGAAATTTTTGTTCTTTAGGTTTTAGTCTGCCAGGAGGGATTTAGAATCCTAGAATGAAGGGATCTTAGAAATCAAGTCTAGTAGTTTTCCAAAATTGTTCTTGCCAACGAACTCTTAAGTAGCATCCTGACAAGGAGAACAAATAAAAGTAGGTTCATGCTGAAGCAGGGGTCAGGAACCCCAAGACACACAGCTGGCTGGCACCACAGGACTGTGAGGCTCCATAGCACATACTGAATACATCGTCCTTTTATGGATTTTCATTTTCCATTGAGGAAGCTAGCCCAGAATGCTGAGGTCACAAAGCCAGAAAGTCACAGATGTAGAATTCAGCTAGACCGGATATCACATGCCAAACACAGAATCTGGCACAGAAGAGACACTTAATAACATGCTCCACTGCAGTTAGAAATTTGGGTTTACCCTAGAGCTAAGGTATTATCTGTGAGGTTGTGTTACTGACCAGTTTTGTTTAAAGTCAGATGTGTCATATCCCTACAAACATCCCTTTGCTCCTGGCTGATTCATCTCTAACGCCATGACTCTCAACTGTCAAGGAATTGCCTTCTGTCAGTGGCTGGCTGCAACTGGTTTGCCCAAAAGCCAGCCGTGCACACCTCCCCAATTGCTCATGCAGTGACATCATGTGGGGTAGCCTGAAATTAGCCATGGTGGAGTATTTATACCATGGAAATCAGAAAATACCACAAACCAGGATTCCCCAGCCTGTTGTTAAACATTACTGGCTAATTCTTTTAATTCTGGTTTAAAATAAGCACAGCTATTCTTGATACCAGGTAACCTGTTAGTCTTCATCTTTTAAATGTTGACTGTTAATTGTAAACCAACAATTTACATGTGTGCCTAAGGGAAGTTTAAGTGAATTTGAAGGAGTAGAGGAAACACTTCACATTGTATTATTTTTAAAAACTAAGTGTATTATTTTATTTCAGTCGTTCTTGTGGTACTAAGTGTATGAATCAATAGTGAAAGGGACAGCAATTTTTTTTTTAACCTGAGGGCCACCAAGTGCAGGATAAGAGTTACACCAAGTGCAGGATAACAGTGGAGTTACATTTCAACCTTGGGATTTTCCAGATTACTTAAAATGTTTAATATCAGTTAAAGATTTTTTTACCCTCTTTTTTGGCACCAACAGTTTAGTACTATTACACAGTAAATGTTTATAATCATACAATTTTATCATTTTCTTAACTCTTACATCTATTGAAAATGGATATACGAGCTGGGCGTGGTGGCTTATGCCTGTAATCCCAGCACTTTGGGAGGCCCAGGTGGGCGGATCACTAAGTCAGCAGTTTGAGACCAGCCTGGCCAACAAAATGAAACCACATCTTTACCAAAAATACAAAAAACAAAATAGCAGGCGTGGTGATGTACACCTATAATCCCAGCTACTCAGGAGACTGAGGCAGGAGAATCACGTGAACCCAGGAGGTGGAAGTTGCAGTGAGCCAAGAGCGCGTCATTGCACTCCAGTCAGGGTGACAGTGCGAGACTCCATCTCAAAGGAAAAAATAAATGGATATAGGTACAGATTTTAAGTATGTGTTGCTTATTTTAATTTTCTGACTCTACTGTTTTATGAGCCAGAGGTTAATCAGAAAGTAATTATGTGGTCTCCCTGCTACATAAAACCATGTATACTAACGAGCGTACTATTTTTAGTTGATTTTTTTTTAACCTTTGGTTTCCCAGTTTTGAATAATTGCATGGTTTCTGACTTTTGAGGGGAAGAAAATGGTTATCTTAGAGTCTTTGAAATGGGAATTGTGGAATTAGATTGAACCAAGGGATTTAATATGACGCTTGGAAATTAAGAGGCTAAAGCTTTTTTAAAAAAAAGAAAACAGGAACTGTCAAGGTTTATGGTATAAATGGTGAAATTTGAAAGGTTAATGAGATACAAATTGTATTATTTGGGAAGGGTTTTTTTTTCCTTGAAAGATGTCATCTTCTCATCTGAATGAAATGGGTCTGAATACCCCATACTCATACGCCTAATCTCATTATATCTTATTTAGTGAATTTTATTTATGAATAATTTCTTTTGAAGTGAAAACTCAATGTTTAATATTTTGGTTTTTTGCTGCATCATCTACTCAAACTACATGAAGAGAAATCGTTTCTCCCTTTGTTTTCTTTTTTTCTTTTGTGGTATTTAAAGCATATTTTAGGTTGAAGTTATTTATTTCTAGTCTTGTATATCTGACTTAAGTATAACCATGTAAGAATTATAAATTTTAGTTTTCTGAACCCTTAAACTTTTTTTAGCATGTGGTCTGTTACACATAGTAGAAATTACTCTTACTTGTAACAGTGTAATTAAATATATCATGGAGGAGAGAAACTTAAAATGACACTTTGGCTGTTGAAGTTATCTGTGTTGCTAAATAGATGCAGAGGATTTACAGCAGTTTTATTTTGAGGTTTTATTTATACATAATTACTTCGAACTCTTCAGAGATTTTTTTCCATAAGATAATTTGTCATAAATTCTCTCATGCACTTCAGAATGAATAAGTGCTATCTATCCTTCAACTGTAGACTTTGAGGGGAGAAAGCATAAAAATATAGCATATAATCTGAAAATAAATTTGTAACATGCACAAATAATATGACATTCTTCTTGAATCAAATCATAATTCTAGAACTTTAGATCTTAAATAGAATTTTGGTTTGTATCTTTCATGTAATATCACACACAGATAACCACACAAAAAAGTCTTTGTAAAATTTCAGATTGATAGGATTCGAGTGCTTAAATTTTTTGTAGGGGAAGGATAGGCAGTAAAGTGTAAGTGCTTTCTTTTGTTCCTGACTTGTATACTGATGACAGTCCATTCTGTTTTCTAAATGTATTTTATTGTGGTGCTTAACTTCTTATTAATTAAATCCAGTATCAGAAACCTTGGAGGGAAAAAAAAGAAACAGAGAGGCAGTCGTTGTTTTACGCTACTTTGTTTCAGAGCAATTTGAATCAACAGTAAAATGTCTCAACATGCAGAGCTCCTTGTGAGACTGTAAATGAGAGTGATTACATCTTTAATGGTATAATTCTTGGGATCTTTTCAAAATGAAAAGGATTTCATTTTCTTCTGCCGACCTGCTCTGTGTCTTACTGGCTAGAGCATGATTGAGATGATGAAGGAGGTTGAAGGAACAGAGAAGGGCAACAGCCTTTTCTGAGCGTCCACAACATATCACACTAGTGCTCTCTATGTGCTTCACATTATCTTCCCAGCATCCCTGCAGAGTCAGAATTGCTGTCCTGTTCTATGTGTGGGGAAACTGGGACTTAGGATAGTTAAGTCCTTGCTCAGAGTCACACAGCTATTAGGTAATCTCACCTGGGTCTGACTGCAGACTTCATTGCTTGTTCCACTAGAATATGCCATAAAGATTTTAACAAAGAGTTCTTAAAGAGAGAAAGATAAAGAAGCCGATAGACTTCTAAATGATCTCTAACTTCCCACCACTATCCCAGTAAAATCATTTCACCTCTCATTTCATATGAGAGCACCAAATTTCCCCAGGAGATCGAGATCCAACCCCAGTCTTGCCCTTGAATTTGTTTGCTATTTGAATTTTGCGTTGCTAGCACTAACAAAGTGCTAAAATTGCAGCCCTCTGTTCTTGAAATACTGAGTAAAAGGAATGGCTGAGAAGCCTGTTTTTCATCTCCAGTGTCAAATGTACTGCCATTGAAGGAATCAAATGTAACCTTGGGCTAGCTCAATAAGGGGAAGTTCAAACTGCTCAAGAGGGCATTTTGTGGGACTTAGTCAAAGGATAAATTATCCTGTGGTACCGAGTGTGAGGGTAATACAGAGGGATTTCATAACCACCCAGCTGCCAGTGCCTGACACACTCACCATGTGGGTCCTTAGCCAGGCTCTCAAATTGTCAGCAGTGGTTTTATAGGGCAGTGACCATGATGTGGTGGGCCAAGTCATATTGTATTACTGGTGCCTGAAAATTTGAAGTGACTGGCTCTCTCACTTCCTGAATTATGCGTTAAGAGCATTGCATCTGGAAGTATTAACAATGGTGGCTCTCCTGTTGGGGTGGTTTGGTAGCTGCACTGAGTTGAGAGACCTAGGGAGTTGACAGGTTAATGAGGGGGCCACCCTTTCCAACAGCTCGACTTTGAAAGTGATGTTAAGTGCTCCCCTCCTCCAGTCCTCTCCTTTCACCTTCCCTTTGAACACCTGACTGGCTTAGGGGGAAACTAGTCTTCCATTACCCATGCAGTGATTACCCAGAGCATACGGTGTGCCTTCCATTTATGCCTTGGATATCCACTCCACTTCAGGATGGCTTCTGTCTGCCTTGTGGGTACGTATTTAATAAAACACCCATCCAGACATGGTAGGCAACATACATGAGTTATTCCTTCCCTTCCCACCACCTCTGCCCCCCGACAAAAAAAAATTGTAAAACCCTGGCATATTCTTTGCTGTATTATCTGAGTGGTGGCTTCTTTGTATGTGGACTTTGGCTATTTATCTATTGTCTGTCAGGTTTGCATTTCTTGTAACAGGTGAGAATTTCTCAGCCATCTTTGGTTTTTTAGTAGTCTCCCTTTTTCCTTTAATTCTTGGAGTGAATTTAGTGCATAGTTGAGGAAAGGAATGACCCCCTAGATAGACATTTAAAAGGTCAAGGGCTTCATTAAGCCTCTTGGAGGAAATCTGACTGGAAGTCTTGCTGGCCTCTTTCACATTCTTCAGAGCATCCCTAGATCCCCTCAGATCAAAGATAGGAGCACGATGAATTTTCTCATTTCACTGCCATTCTCTGAGCTGCTCAGGCAGCCAGCCACACATATGCTGAACTTGACTGTAAAAACAGAAAATAAGTGCTAGAAGCCATTATGCCTGGTTTGGATTTATTCTAACTTTAATTTCCTTAGTTTGACAAAATTTGAAGTTGGTCCTAGTGTGAAGAGACCAATCAAACCAAGCTCTGTTCTTCAGAATAAAGCAGCTCGTGTGGGACTGATCCTGTGGCCTCCATTGCTGGGCAGTCCTAACACCTGTGGGAGCACCCAGTGAGCTCCTACAAAGAAGCTTCCTCAGTGGGGCCTCTCACTGCCCCTTCATTTTGTGCCTGTAGAATCATGCCAGGAAATCCTGAGCCTGGGTACCAGAATGATTAAAAATTTCCCAGCAAGGTACATGAAAATCAGAGAAAGCCTGTTGCTGTGTCACTCAGTTCCCTTGGGTTCTAGGCAGCTTGTCACTCCCATCTTCCCAAACACTCAACTGAGATTTCTTCTCTGTTCTGAGAAGCAGGTAAGGACATTTTTCTCCCACTGACCTCCCTCACATCTTCATCTCTTCAGATACCTCTAATCTATTTGGAAACAGTGGGGCCAAGACATTTGGTGGATTTGCCAGCTCATCATTCGGAGAGCAGAAACCCACTGGTACTTTCAGCTCTGGAGGAGGAAGTGTGGCATCCCAAGGCTTTGGGTTTTCCTCTCCAAACAAAACAGGTACTCCTGTACATATTTGTTATGGTTAACTTTGTATGTGTATTTGTTTATGTCTAGAGATCTGGAAGGAGACATCTCTAGGGTGGTTATCTTGAATAGGATTGGAGTAAAGTTAGCTGTTTTCTCAACTTTATTTTTATATTGACTGAGCATCTGCTACACTCCTAACATGATTCCAGGTCTTCCGAAACATGTTCAAAAGCACAGGACACATGTAATGCACCTCTTAAGAGAACACAGAGTCTTCTTGGGGAGAAAACATTGTAAATATTCTACAGTTGCAGAACAACCAAAGTAAGGGAACACAGAAGGAAATGAGAACTGAAATATCAACAAGAAAACATCCTGGGTCACGGATTTCTTTGGGTGCCCATTACTTATGAGGGTCAAGGCAGATCATCTGTTTAATTTCTCATGTGTTATGTTACTTTCCCCTCTTTCTGAAATCACTTTATTTTTAATTGAAATATATATATATAGGCCTGGCGCGGTGGCTCAAGCCTGTAATCCCAGCACTTTGGGAGGCCGAGGTGGGTGAATCACCAGGTCAAGAGATCAAGACCATGCTGGTCAACATGGTGAAACCCTGTTTCTACTAAAAATACAAAAAATTAGCTGGGCGTGGTGGCATGTGCCTGTAATCCCAGCTACTCAGGAGGCTGAGGCAGGAGAATTGCCTGAACCCAGGAGGCGGAGATTGCAGTGAGCCAAGATCGCACCATTGCACTCCAGCCTGGGTAGCAAGAGTGAAACTCTGTCTCAAAAAAACAAAAAAGAAAAGAAATGTATATATATACACATAGTCCACATATCAAAAGCATACAGCTTAATTTTCACAGTTGGAATACACCCATGTAACCAAGGAAAAGAAAGATTACTAGCACTACTTTTTAATCCCAGCATTACTATTAAAGTATACATTTATATAAACTATATGCTTATTATAATCATGTAAGATGTATTTATAACTAAAAATTTTTAAAGAACAATGTATGTTTGGATCTGAAAACATGTACTTTATTTTTGTCATCTGCCTCTCCACCCTGTTTCTGTCTCTGAGATCTGCAGAGAGTCTGTACTCCTGTCTTTGTTGATGGCAAGTTGTGTGAAAAGAGGTTTTTTTTTTAAGACGAGGGTCCAGAGTAGGCTGTTTGAGCAAGCAGCTTTTTAAAGCAAACTCTCCGTCGGTAAGTGGGTAGGACATTTGGCCCTCGTATGTATGTGATGCTCTGAAATATGCTAATTCCAGAGGAAGGATCTGACCTCAGGAATAGATGCATCAGTGGCTCTGACTTGGGAGTAAGTCTGGCCCAAATTAGTACATGGAGTCTTGTGTTTAGAGCCTCAAGTGCTGTGGTTTGCAAATCCACTGTGCACCTCAGACTGTGACTCAGGTAGCTTAGTCCTTGGTTGTTAGTCGTTAATACTCTTCCTAGAAATTAAAACAGTATAGAAATGGGCATCTCAGCTTTCTTTTGGCCACATACAGAGTGCATTATTTAAAAATTAAAGGACCACAAGACTTTTATCCCAGTTAGAAAGGCACGTCGTGAACATTTCAACTAGAGTTCATCGATCATCAAGACGTTTTATGTTTTTAGGAGCCTGATAATATTTTCTTTGACTCTTATAGTTTTCCTATATATGGTTCTTTATCCTGGGATTATGTCCGCATTGATTTGAAAATCTGACCTTTGAAAATCCCACCCAGCTAGGTGCGGTGGATTGCACCTGTGATCCCAGCAGTTTGGGAGGCTAAGGTGGGAAAATCACTTGAGCCCAGAAGGAAAGGCTGCTGTGAATAGAGGAACTGCTTTCCTGGCCATGCATCAGGGCAATCACTTCTTGCTTTAAGAGTGATTTTGAGATGATGATTTGGATGGGTCTTTGAAAAATTCCGAAAGTGTCTATCCTCCCTTCAATAAAATTGCATTAGAAAATAATCGTGCTGGAGGTCATCCAGGAAGAGGACGGGAGGAGAAGGTAGGATGGACTGAAGATGGCCTTGCTGCCCACCATGGTCAGTGATCTACACTGTGCTCTCTCACTAAAAGTGTTAGATTTGGTTACATGGAGGGAGGCAGGGGATGAATGATGGGAAGATGAGAGGTGGGCGTTTGAGTTGCACAGGCTTTGTTCCAGCCCCAGCTCTAGCACCCACCAGCTGGCTAAAGTTTAGACAAGTGGCATATTCTCTGCGCCTCAGTTATCTCCCCCATAATATAAGGATCCCAGGCTTATTGGGAGGATTTACAAGAACTGCTAAGAGACACCTGGCACATAGTGGGCCCTCAATAAATTAAAGTTTATCATCACTGATAATTAGAAAATGTATGTTTCTTTTGGAGAATAAATTTATGAAAATATAGCAACTGATAAAATCAAACACCTCCTGCCATCAGGAGAGAGTTGCCTGTTTAAGCCAGAGGACTGTTTTCTTTCTAGTTCATTTGGCTGTGACCCAGGTTTGTTGTTGTTTGGGGGCTTTTTCTCTCTGCATATGTTTAACCTCCACCCCTCCCCTGTCCAGTTTATTTTCCGTACCATTTTTCACTCACCTTCCACCAAGAAGTCTAAACAATATTGAATACAAGGCCTTAGATAAAGCCCTGCGTGTCTAGGAAGAAAGTGTAACCAGATCTGTGATCAGTCTTAAATAATTCAGCTGTTAGGGTTTTTTAGCACTTTTTTTCCAGTCTGTTATATTTATAACCCAACAGTCTTCATTATCATAGCTTGGAATTTCACTCAAGCTTTTAAAATGCAGCATGTTAACCCAAACATGAGCCTTAGCAAAAAAGTTTTTTCTCAGTTGTGCAGCCTACCACTATTAATGGCAAATAGGCACATAAGTGAATCACAAGATAACAGTTAATGGAGGAATTCAGCTGACAGCTTTTCATACCCAGTATTTGGTCTTTCCTGATTCAGACAGCAGAAGCTTGTGTTGTGATTACATATATGATAAGAGGTCTAGATTTCATCCCTCTAACAACAGATTCACTTTCTGAAAGGGGAGAAAATACTGTCTCTGCTGACCATTTCCTGGCTTGTTGCTGGGCCACCATTACTCCCGTTAGCACGCACTTCATAGGCGAACACTTTAAGAAGTACTCCCTTTAGAGGGTGCTCCCATTTAGAGCACATTTCTTATGCCATTCTATTCTATTCATTCAAGAAGTCACTTAGTGAATTTTTTACTCTAATACTTTAGAATGATTTCAGCAGCATCTTGGAAGTTTGGGAACCCGCATCAGGAGCAGCAGGAATAGCTCAGGGGAGGATGTTTTGTCTTCCTGCCTGACAGTCATCACCAGCAATCAGAGGAGGCTGCCTAGTGCACAGTCTGACCCTTGTCTGTGTGGCCACCTGCATGGTGCCTGAGCCCACTGGGCAGCAGTGTTGGCAACTTGCAAAAGGCATGTGAACTCTAGGGCTGTCCTCACTGTTGACTTACCATTTTATTGGATTTATACAGCAGCCTGCTTCCAAAGAGGAAATTTGGTGTGTTTTTTCATTGCAAAGTAATTCCAAACTGCAGAAAAAAAGCGTTAAAAAAAAGAAATCTTCTCCACTGAGAGAGAGAAAGGGAGAGACTGGTGAGAGACATAGGAGCCATCAGGCTGTAAATAAATAAAAAGCACCTGGCTGGACGCCAGTGTGCACGTCTCCGTCTCTGCTATGACCCAATTCAGGGTTTTGAGCCTCTGATTTTATACTTGGATTTCTATGAAGCTAGATGTCTTGCCTGTATGCTGATAAGTAATACAATATGTCATCTTTTGACAGCTGGGTAGGGACTGGAGTTTTTGAGAATGGTTTTTCACTCAAAACAGTTCAGAGGACCTGAGAGAGGTCGGGGGTGCACCGAGTGGACTCTCAGAGGTCTGCTTACACGGCTTCACACTGACGAACCCAGCTGGCCTCTCAGACACACACAGGGTCTGCAGGAGCTCTCCTGAGTGAACCCCAGAGCTCTCTGCTAGAAATGGAAGGGGTGCTTTGGTTTGAGGGCTTTTGCTTTGTTTTTGTTTTCATTGCTATTTTCTTGATAGAAGGGAAGGGAGGGTATTACTCTTTACCCCAGTTCTTACATCTGAATTGCTAACATCTTCTTTTCCTTTTTTTCTTCCTATTTTGATTTGATTTCTCATTGCTCAATGTCTTCTCTTCCTATCTCCTCCCTTCTTTCTCCCTTTTTCTGTTTGTTTGCCTCTGTTTTGCTCAGGTGGCTTCGGTGCTGCTCCAGTGTTTGGCAGCCCTCCTACTTTTGGGGGATCCCCTGGGTTTGGAGGGGTGCCAGCATTCGGTTCAGCCCCAGCCTTTACAAGCCCTCTGGGCTCGACGGGAGGCAAAGTATTCGGAGAGGGCACTGCAGCTGCCAGCACAGGAGGATTCGGGTAAGCCCCCTGGGGAGGGCCCTACGGAACCCACATGCCAGCCATAAAGCACTAGGCCTGTACTCTTGCTCTGAAAAGAAATTCGAGGCTAGGCGCGATGGCTCACGCCTGTAATCCCACCACTTTGGGAGGCCGAGGCGGGTGGATCATGAGGTCAAGAGATTGAGTCCATCCTGGCCAACATGGTGAAACCCCATCTCTACTAAAAATACAAAAATTAGCTGGGGTGGCAGGTACCGTAATCCCAGCTACTCAGGAGGCTGAGGCAGGAAAATTGCTTGAACCCAGGAGGCGGAGGTTGTAGTTAGCCCAGATTATGCCACTGCACTCCAGCCTAGTGACAGAGCAAGACTCCTCAAAAAAAAAAAAAAAAAGAAATTTGACCATGAGCTGAAGGCCCCTCCCTTGGAATCGGTCAACAAGTTCCTCAAGGATTCCTGTTCCTCTGTGGGATAAGACTAGTTTCTTTCAGGCCAGGCTTTGTTGAATTCATGGGTGGACCTCAGTTGTGTTGGAGTTCTCTGATGTGAGAAATGCTAGCCATCAGAACCCCTGTTCTCCTGCTGGGGCTAAAGGAAGGCAAATAGTCCTGCCTTAGCTACTGCTCTGTAGCCAAGAGTACCCCCATGTGGAGCTTCTGTTAGGACGTCCTCAATGAATGTTTTCACCAGATTTCTTTCCTCTTGGGATCGTTCTGTGTTAGACTTGCTGTCCTTGAACAAACAACTCCCTGTGTCTCTTGCTCCCCGCAGAGTGAGTATTCAGTTCCATAGCCCCCACCCCCACCATGGGAAGAGCCTGGATGATCAGGAATTTAGAAGCTGCTCCAGTCGCCTCATGTGTGTCTACACGGGAAAAGGCCATATTAGGGAGTTGCTTTTAAGGACAGAATTTCAGTCTGGTTGCCAAAACCCCAAGGGAAAAATAACCTCCACCACCCCACAAAATCCCAATTAAAAAAAAAAATGTACACAGTGATGACCACCAAGTCTCTCCTTCCAAGGAGGTGTTAATGCCTAAAAGGAACCTTAAAATGCCTCTCACCACAGTACTGGGCTCCAGATGAGCTGAAGACTCGGGGTAGGGGAGATGATTTTGTCTGGGAGAATTGTAGAGATACTTGCAATCTGAGTCTTGGCAAGATGACAACATCTTTATCTTGAAAATAAACTACAGTATGTTCTTACGCCCTTCCCCTCCATGAAAGATGCTGGAGCACAGCAGCGAGAGTGAGCGGGTTGGTATGCTGCTTCTCATATTCCACATGGAGACTAATGTGTTAGGTTTACTCTCGGGAAACCCCAAGAATTAAAGTTAGGGAAAACTTTGAAAGGACAGTTAGAGACCCACTTAGTCTGGTATTCTCAGTGGTCTTAATGGACACTGTTCACTGCAGTAATGACCTAGCACAGAGTACTGCAGAGTTGATGGAAGGTTTGGGTTGACTGGGTATCTTGATGATTTATTTACTTGAAATCAGCTATTTTTTTACTAGTAGAAAAGTATCATATTCTGCCTTGGGGCAGCTCTCACATAAATCCTGACTGGCTGGTTAGTCAGTCCTAAAAAAGGTTGGTACCACGTCACTTATTAAATCTTCATAAGAGCCGTTACCTTCCAAGTACCTGGCCATGAGCCTGTCTCTGACCCTGAAGGGCAGGCCTCTGAGAAGGGCAGGCTGTTGCTGCTGAGGCCCAAGGCAGGAGGAGGAAGGGAGCAGGCCAGTGCTGGGAGAGAGTCCAGCCAGAGCAGATTCCTTGGCCACCTTTGTATGGAAAGAGCCTTGACCTCATCATTAAACGTGAATGGAGTGGTGGGGAGGGGGAATTTTAGATAGTTTTTCTCTCTGGGGTTGATTCTTGCCCCAGGTGCTATCCCTTCTCCCAGAAACATTGATCCATTTCCCTCACCTAATCACCTCCAGACCCCAGAAGCTCTCCCCTACCCAGCTGAATTCCTCTGAAAATGATTCAGGGGGCTCTGATAGGTCACACAGTGCCACCTTTTGTGCTGGACCACATCTGGAGGGAGAAGTAGGCAAGGGTGCACAGGGGATTGTCCCCAGGTGGGCTGAGCAGGGGAGAGAAAATGGTGGCCACTTCTACATTGTTTTGTTTAGTAATTATTGATTCAGGAAGCAAATACAATTCTGAATGAAATGACTTGGGAAAAGTAAATAGAATCAAGATCCCAAGAGGAGCTAAAGATAAATAAATGGGGGCAGGGGTGGGGGGAACGGTCGGTAAGTGAGAAATGCTAAAATGATGGAATAAAGCTGCAGGATTGCTGGGGATAGTGCAGGAAATGTGTACTGCATAGTTCCCAGATGCCCTGGTGTTTCGATGGGGGATGGAAACTAAAACACTGGCCAGACTGGATTTCATACTCTAGTCCTGCCATTTTTCTTCCCAGAGCAGAAATAAAAGTTGACCCTGGGCGATAGCTTGTTCTCCCTGCAAGGCTGCTAGTTAGGCCCCGCCTATCACCGGGCCTAACTAACATGCTCATGTGTGTCCTGCATATTGAGACTTAAAGCAGGGGCTGAGGCTTACAGACGGCCACATGGTGAGAAGCCCCACTGACCTCGGTCTATTTCTCACTGGAGCACAGGTTTGGGAGCAGCAGCAACACTACATCCTTCGGCACGCTCGCGAGTCAGAATGCCCCCACTTTCGGATCACTGTCCCAGCAGACTTCTGGTTTTGGGACCCAGAGTGGCGGATTCTCTGGTTTTGGATCAGGCACAGGAGGTAAGCTGCCACAGGTTCTCCCTCACAAGCACAGTGGCTCCCTCTTGCCTTCTCCCCCAAAGAAAGGAGTATGTTTTACCTGACCAGTCTGTTTAGTATTTTAAAAGCTGACTAGGCACGTGGCTAACGCCTGTAATCCCAACACTTTGGGAGACTAAGGCGGGAGGATCACTTGAGCCCAGGAGTTTGAGACTAGCCTGTAGACCCATTCTCTACAAAAAATTTTAAAGTTCGCCAGACATGGTGGCACACACACGTCATCCCAGCTACTCAGGAGGCTGAGGCAAGAGGATCGCTTGAGCCTGAGAGGCTGAGACTAAAGTGAGCTGTGATTGTATCACTGCACTTCCAGTGACGGAATGAGATTCTGGGTGACAGAATAAGACCCTGTCTCAAAATACATACATACTGAAAGTGATTGAAAAATAAATTTCTTTTTTAAGTTTTAGTTGGACTTAGTACATTGCGTCATTTCTTACCAAAGAAAGTACTGTCTTGATTTCCCCTCAGGATTTGAGAGGCCCAAAATAATAATGGTCTTACAGGGCCTTGGTTTAAAAATTTAAGCCAGCAGACTCAAAAAAGATGTAGAAACTTCACAAAATGTCTTGCACTTGTTTAACACTGGTTTTTCAGATGGCAGAGTATGTGTTTTCCATTTTGTTCTTGCAATAAACTGACAAGGCACAGAATTTAATTATCATTACAGTCGTACCAATGAAGAAACAGAAACTCCAAGGAACTAAGTGATTTGCTTAGAGTCAGTTAGCAGCAGAACCAGGCCTAGAATCCAGCCATCTTGCTTGTCTGGCCCTCAAAAAGAAGAGAAAGCAAGCAGATAGAAAAACAAGAGCAAAAGAAAAAAAAAATCCTAATGAAATGGATCCGTGTAGTCCAGTGCAGCTAAGAGAGAAAGGCCAACTCAGAGACCCTCCATACAATACAGCCAGGGCTGGGGCAGAAAGAAGAACCCAAAACTACCAAGATAACTTGTAAACAGTCGAGGGTTTCTTCTGACTTCTGGGGTACCTGAACAGCTCCAGAGGATAAACTCAGAATAAAGGGGCTTCTGCATGTACCTCCCCCGCCTTCCTGTAGGTGGTGGGGGCACAGAGGGCTTTCCACGAGAAACATGGGAGGGCAGGCACTTGACATGAGACCACCTTTGTGTTTCGAGTGGATGTGTTTAACTTCACTCTTCTGTTTTTCAGGATTCAGCTTTGGATCCAGTAACTCGTAAGTATCCCCCTTTTTGAATCTGACCTTAATTAAAAGCATTAAATAAAGTTGGAAGTATGTGTGAGCCACAAATCATTCCTGCTGGATTTGTGCATTTTCTTTTCATTTTTCCTGTTTTTGGAGTTTGTCCTGCAAGTGTGGGGTTCAGCAGCAGGGTTTGAGTTTTGCGGACTTGTTCATCTCTGTAGGAATATGGCAGGAGGTGCCAGGCCTCGCCTTCTTAAGAGGCATGGCTCAAAGAGAAACGAGCACACCTGCAGTGAGCCAGGCCTGAAGGCAGCACTGAGGAGATGCTGCTCCTGACTTCCCTGGAGGTGTCTTGAAAGCTGCCTGCTAATCCCTGGGCTCTGGGCCATCCCCAGGTCTCATATGTTGATCCTCCCTCTATGCTTCTGTGTAGAATTTCATGGCGTTAAAATTCAGACTCTTAGCCAGGTGCGGTGGCTCACGCCTATATCCCAGCACTTTGGGAGGCTGAGGTGGGAGGATTGCTTGAGCCCAGGAGTCAAGACCAGCCTGGCTAACATAGCAAGAGACCCCATCTCTACTAAACATTAAAAAAAAACTAGCCAGGCATGCCGGCTCATGCCTGTGGTCCCAGCTACTGCAGAAACTGAGCTGGGAAGATCAGTTCAGCCTGGGAGGTTAAGGCTGCAGTGAGCCAAGATGGCACCACTGCACTCCACCTGGGTGACAGTGAGACCCTATCTCAAAAGAAGAAAAAAAAGCAAAAACAGCCAGGCGCAGTGGCTCACACCTATAATCCCAGGCCCTCCTGCTTTGGGAAGCCAAAGTGGGCAGACCAGCCTGGCCACCACGGTGAAACTCCATCTCTACTAAAAATACGCACGCACGCACACACGCCAGCCCGAGAGGCGGAGGTTGCAGTGAGCTGAGATCACACCACTGCACTCCAGCCTAGGTGACAGAGCGAGACTCTATACAAAAAAATAAAATCCAAGTTCTGACCTTTGCACAAAGGCAGAGCAGCAGAACCTATGACTCTGCTTTGTGACAGAGCACCTGACTCTGCCATTCCCCTGTGCTTCCTTACAGGTCTGTCCAGGGATTTGGTGGCTGGCGAAGCTGAGGGGGTATCAGCAGGCCTTTCAATCCCTGGGACCAACTGCATCCTCAGCTTCTTCACCGAGAAATGCTGGAGCAAGCTGTTCGGATGGATATTGCCATCAAAACATACACACCCAGAAAGAAACAACAGAAACCAAAACTCAAGAGATGCACAGTTACTCGTTTTATATTTCATGTTGGATTCCCCACCCCACTATTAAACTGTTGGTCTGTTTCCGTACAGAATGTGTGTGGGCTTTTTTCAGATCATAGCCAAGGAGATTGCCCCCTTTCTGTAGCTCTGAGAAGTCAGCAGAGCCTCCATCAGCCAGCACTGGGTCTTCAAGGATGGCATGAGAGGTCTCCAGCATCGGGTCTTGATAAACAGCATAGAATCTGCTGTGGTCTCACTCGGACCTAGTGCCCTCCACATAGGGAAGAGGGTGAATCCTGTGGGCCATCTTTTGGAAGCGGTAACTTGGTTATCTCCTCTCCGAGTTCTTTTTGTCATTGTATATCAGGACCCTCCAAGGATGCACTCAGATTGAGTGGAGGCAGAGGACCCACTCATGCCAGCAGCAGTTTTAGAAGCAGCTGTAGCGCTTTTCAGTACACTTGTAGCCAGTATGAGGCAGGTCTGGCAAACAGACCAGGACAACGTGGCTGATTGCTGATGACAGTGCTGCCCCTTAGCCAGCCTTGTCCGCTCATCTCCATGTGGCCCTTGGGTGCTGTGTCTCCTACTCCAGAGAGGAGGGGGCAGTTGCTTGGGAAGACAGCCATTCTATATGCAGCAATGATACTGGTAGCCACAGCTACCCAGTGTCTACTAACCACAGTGCAGATAGCCCTTGGTAGACCCGGGAAGCGTGAAGACGGGCTGTTGCCAGATACCACCAGTAGGACAGTGCTGGATTTGATAACAGTGTTTGCTGGTGTTGCCTAGAGCTCATCATTGCAGTTGTATTAAAGTGCTTATTTATCTTTAATGCAGTATCTTTGAGGCCTGGGCATAATTTATATATCTTGGGCCTGTAACATCCTAGGTAGTTGCTGTCAAACAAGACCATCTCCCGTTGAAAACAGATATAAGAATTTATCTTTTGGGCCCAGAATCTGACAGTGAATTGGCTTGGGTCATGAGCAGCAGAGAGTTGGAAAGGGTTTTTTTTTTTTTAGAGTTTTACATATCAGCAGGTTGTATTTTTTTAATGTTTTAATAAAAGTTTGACATGACATTAATTTATCATGTTACAGACTGTATGACATTGGTTCTGATGGCTTATGTGGGGAGAGTGGACCATGGTGAGGTCTCCACTGTGTCACCACCTGGTCTGACGGTCCCCATCTCGCCTATGCTTCAGCATCATCTGCAGAATTCTTTGTCACGTGCACATTCCCAGCCTTCGTCCCGGGGATCCTGGCTCTGGAGGACTGAGATCGAGGCTGGACGCCCACCTGGCTTTGTGTTTGGTGATTTCTTAAGCTCCCGAGGAGAGGAATCTTGTTTAGCACTACTGGGTTTCAGAAATCCCTCCCTCAACCAGATGTCAGCAGAGCCAAGAGCTGGAATTAGATCCATGGTGTCTCTGGATGACTGTCACCCTGCACTCTGTGCAGTTAGGAGAGGGAGGGGCTGTCTGTGTGGTCCATTATCTAGGGCTCTGCCTCTCACGAAGAGCTGAGGTCTCCAAAAATTGAATGTGTGCTCTTTTTGGTCCTTGCAGAATTGAAGAGCCTCTCACCTTCTGTACCCTGTGTTCACTGGAGGCTCTCAGCCATGAAGTGGGGGGACAGTCCCCATGACATTGACAGCCAGTCAGGGCATGTTTCTCCCACGTGGGCTCGTGCTAGTTCGTATACAGAGGCCATCTAGAGACAAAGGGACTTGAGCTCTGACAGGAGAGGCTGGCAGTGGAGGGCTCAGCTTTAAAGGGGAGCGATGTATCTGGAGGCGCTGTAGGCTCCATTCTGCCCTTGGCTGTCATCCTGCCAGCCAGCACCCAGGCTAAGCCATCTTTTTCTACCCTTCTGCTTCTCCCCGGACCCTCCTTTACATAAATAGAAATGGTTCAGCCTAAACCCTTGACCTCAAATTCTCTGTGTTGATCCTCCATTGAGGTGACATGTGACATCTCTCCATAAGGCACTATCAGCTGTGCTCAGGCAGATAACATCCCCACTCCCTGTCAGGCAGCAGCCCTGGAGGAATGTACTACTGGCATGTGGGCCCCTCCAAGTTCCTTTTTTGGGGTCCATTACAGTGGTAGATGGCAGGGGTCAGCTCAGCCTATATCCCCAGACGCCCGAGCTGCCAGGATGTCCGGCTGGAATGCACAGTCATTCCCGCCTGTCCAGGGAGGAGATGGGGCTTCAGCCGCCTCCAAATCAGGGCAGGCAAAGAGCCTGGATGCGTGTGTGGGGCCTGTGTCCCAGTGACAAGAAGGGCCCCAAGGATGCCCACACAGCCTTTCTGGGGCATGTGTGCAGTGGCCAGCACAGGCAGTTTCATTTATGTTTCTGCTCTGCATAACTCAGGAAGGAACTGGGGAAGGCAGACTGAATGAGCTAGGTCAAGTTTTGCTTGGCTTTTCCAGACACAAATATCACACTGGTAATTGGTGCTTCAGATGGCAACACAGGGACAGAGGCCAAATTGGGCTCCTCGGGGACAGGTAGAACCCGTTACACGACACTCACATGTCCAATGGCTTAAATCAGTCATTAGGAATAGGAGACGGGACGCTGACCGAGTCCTGGCCTCTCATTTGGGCAAAAATACGAGTCCCGTGGCATGGTGAGGCAGCCGAGCCAGTGGTCCCCTCCGCACAGCCCTGCCTGCCTGTGAGTGTCCTTTGCCTGCTTTCAGCTTTGCATTCTCTCTGGCAGCCTCCAGAGAGGCTTCTAGGTCGAGTGTCTGGCGTTACAAAAAGGGAGTGCACCATGCAGGCTGCCTAACCCTAACCCTCACCAGCTCTGTAACCAGAGTGAGGATTTTTTCCCTCAGTTGTAAAGTAGAATTGGAATACCTGTCTGGCAGGGTGGTGGTTCGGACTGAACGAGGTGCCCCTGGCACAAAGCTGCTTCCCGGTCTTGGCGATGCTGTTACCCTCACCTGCATCTTGCCTGACATCCAGGTTACTTGGCTGCAAGTCGGTTCCCACTGACTTCATCTGGTTTGGGGGATAGGAGCATCTCCCACCTGGCTTTCAGGCCCCTTACCAAACAGGACCGCACTGTTGGGGAGTGGTGCAGCTGTAACGCCGTGCTCAGGCATTCACTGGAGATTCTTCACCACGGCTGGGCCAGGCCCTTCAATCTGTTTTTTAGAGCAGGTGATTCTTGTACAGATGATCCATGAACCCCCATGGGCCTTCGGCCTTAAGGACAGTAGCCATAAATACCCAGAGGGCATCTGAAGAACAGAACCTAACTCCATGGACATGTTTATTTTGCAGTTAATCCAGGCTAAGGGATTTTATCTGAAATTGTTGATAAGAGACATAAGTGTAGATTTAAGCTGCTTTTTGGCACCTGCTCAAGAAAAACTGAAAGTACAAGTGGGCCAAGTAACCTCCTGCCAGCCAAACACCTGGAACCCTCTGTGAGTTCCCTAACAGGAGGAAAGACCCTCCTTGCCCTCATCCTGAGGAGGGAGACCTAGGCATTTAGGATGCTTGCTTTTTCTGTCATTCACTGTGCCATCTCAACAGAAGAGAGAGTAGGCCAGCTAGTGCCTCTTAAATTTCTTTCCTGAGAACAACAAGCTAAGCTTGAGAGAAACTCTCCAGAAAGCACTATTTTTACTTAAAACAAGATCAACCCAGAAACCTTTTCACATGTGAGTCTAAAACTGTAAACCAGAATCCTTTCATATGTAATTCCTAAAACTGTAAACTAAAACCTTTTCACATGTGAGTCCTAAAACTATGAACCTACGATTCTTCCACGTGTAACATCTAAAGTATAAGCCTATATAAAAGCTGAACCTCCCTTTATTAGACAAGCTTAGCTGTTAAACACCTATGCCACCTTGCTCCCAGCTAAAATAAATTCCTTCCTCCTATATTCAGTGTCCAAAAGATCCTTTCCCACAACCACTCCTAATACAATCCCACCTGTGGGTCCCCTTAACAGCTGCTTGGTTTCTGGACTGCCACTTAGTTGGGATTTTTTAGATGGAGTCTGGCTCTGTTGCCCAGGCTGGAGTGCAGTGGTGTGATCTCGGCTCACTGCAGTGTCCACCTCCCAGGTTCAAGCGCTTCTCTTGCCTCACCCTGGGATTACAGGCACCCACCACCACACCAAGCTAATTTTTTTTTTTTTTTTTTTTTTTTAGTAGAGACAGGGTTTCACCTGGTTAGCCAAGACGGTCTTGATTTCCATCTTTTAACCTCTATAGATTCTCATTTGTAATTTTTTTTTTTTTTTGGAGACAGGGTCTTGCTGTCACTAGGCTGGAGTGCAGTGGCACAATCTCAGATCACTGCAACCTCTGCCTCCCAGGCTCAAGCAATCCTCCCACCTCAGCCTTTCAGGTAGCTGGGACTACAGATGTACCATACCACACCCAGCTAATTTTTTTATGTTTTTAGTAGAGAGGAGGTCTTGCTATGTTGCCCAGGCTGGTCCCAAACTTCTGGGCTCAAGCCATCCAGCCTCCTTGGCCTCCCAAAGTGCTGGCATTACAGACATGAGCCAGAGCACCTGGCCCCCTTTGTAATTTCTTTCTTTCTTTTTTTTTTTCTTGCTCTGTCATCCAGGTTGGAGTGCAGTGGCAGTGGCATAATCTCAGCTCACTAAAACCTCCACCTCCCGGGCTCAAGCTATTCTCCTGCCTCAGCCTCCCGAGTAACTGGGACTACGGGCACCCACCACCATGCCGGGCTAATTTTTTCTGTATTTTTAGTAGAGACGGGGTTTCACCATGTTAGCCGATATGGTCTCGATCTCTTGACCTCATTATCCTCCCACCTTGGCCTCCCAAAGTGCTGGGGTTACAGGCATGAGCCACCGTACCCGGCCTGTAATTTCTATTAGAAGACCTGTCTGGTACTTCTTGGCATTTGATTTTTAGCTAACAAAACTGGCCCAGTTTCATGCCAGAAATGGGGCTTCTTGCCCGAACTTCCTCCGAGGAAGGTTGTGGAGCACCCTGGCTGGAAGGCAGGGATGAGGGTTAGGCTGCCAGCTGGTCACACTCCTGCGTGTGCACCCCCATTGCTCTGTCTCAACATCACTCTACT